TAATAAGGAACAGTATTAAAATAAAAGTAAGGCAGAGGAATTGTAAGCGAAATAATTTCGAATATAAATAGAAGGAAGACGAGAATATGTAGAGCTTGGAAGAAATATCAAGCAACGACGAAGAGAGAGTTTCGGAACAAGATACCCCAAGAAACCAAAAAAACCGCAGAGTGGACATGCGTTGTATCCACCAACGTCGTAAAGAAGAGTTGGAGGCACTCGCTCGTGAGTTCGGGCTCAGCGAATAGGGCCGGTTGAATTTTTGCGCTGTCGGCTGGAAAACTTCGTCTCTAATGGTTCGCACCCAATCGGAATATGGACAAAGGACATGCTCGACGTTCCGGTGATCCAGACCTATAGAACATGCGACGCGGGCGGTAATGATTGCGGGTATGGGATATCTTATTCTCCCAGGAATGCTCCGGTGTTATTATCCCGCCCACCAACGGAAGCGAGGGGACACTTCATCTTACAAGAGCAGGTTAGAAAGTGGGGCATACAGTTTGATAGACAGGCCGTTCTTTCCTAGAGGCCATCTCTATCGACATTAACTTGCACATGAGTGAGCGTGATGCGTGATGAGTGATGAGCGAGGTCTCGGTGCACAAATTGTATGTGAGGATATTTCGTCCTTGCCTTAGCAGGGTATAGACAAGAAACGTAACCAGACGTCAATCAGGTGCCACCCCGCTCCAGACAACTGCACAATTCCCCGGGTCGTTGCTGTTGCAGCATGGAGAGGCGGCCAATACTATGATCGGTCAAGAATCGGGATCACCAACCAAGCAGCGTCGAGGATGCTACCAGTTAGGACAATAGGGAAACGGGCAGCGGCGCCACCGGACCGGGATCGGATGGCCGCTAAAGTCAACGGAGATCGGAACTGTATTAATGCATTATGAGTCGAGGAGGTTGTATCGTTGGAACGATAAAGATCGAGGGTACATACGCGGGAACAATTGATACCGGCGCGACACGGTCCTTCGTGAGTGTGTGAGTACAGGGATTGATGATGGGGTATCCATTTCCCCAAGGAGATGTTCCTGGTGGTAGACCTGGGTAAGAGTGACCTGTTCAGAAAGACCGAAACGGGGCGTACACGGCCGCCGACGGAGGGTCCGCGTGCTGATCGGCACTCATAAGCACGAAGCTGGGAAGAAAAAGCAGAGGTACTCCACCAGTAGCCCGGCGCCGCGACGAGTTATTGACGGGCACTATCGACGGGGAAGTCCAATGTGGTAGCAGACATGTAATCAAGCAGAGGAGGAGCAATCCCCTGAGTGTCTGGGGACGAGCGGTCAAGTACCCAGGAATATTCACCTTGGATCGAGCAACCGTATGTAGAGGACGTGTGAAAGAACCTTAATGTTCTGCATGGTCACTAGTAAAGTTAGAGGGAGACACTAAATAGTAGCGGTGCATTAGGGCTATTAAGAGCGTAATAACAATAAAGACAGGAATTAAATTCAATTAAATAATTATTTTCATTATTCTCCAAGAGAGGCTCAGTAGGACTAATCTTTACCGAGTCCTAGTCGCCCGCGCAGCAAGCGATATCCGAGGCGTCAGTTATTAGTACAGGTATCGTGTCGCACAGCAATCCTGGCAGGTCCCAATAAACGCTAGCTTTCCCCCTCTTCGATTTTCACGTCTTAGTCAATTACAAATATCCGGTATGTTGGGCCTGGGTAGACTGATATTTATACTCCGGCTACAATCACTACATAACAAAATTTTGATCAATTAGATATGTCCCGCATGAACCGATGGACCGATTGAAGTCTTTTCTTCCTCGTTTTTAATCTTATAATCTAAGCTATTTAGCAAGTAGATAGTCTAGTTCTATAGTCTTAGGATGCAGTAGGTTGCATCTTGGTTAGCGCAAAAATAAAACAAATAAATAAATGTGCCATTCAACTTCGTATATACTCTTTAGAAGGTGAGTCGCATGACTTCAATGATTTTGGGGTACTTACCCCTGGTCCAATTTTTGTTGAAAAATCGCATCGTGCTTTTCCTGTGTGCACAAATCACACATTCAATCTCACCTTTTTGAAACTGTTCGACATAGTGACTGCTTTCATACAACAAATTTGGTATCGATCATCATTTGACTACATTACTCTCAAACCAAAAGGGATATCAGCACCTTCAAACGCAACAATGGAAGCAAAGAGAATTCCAGCAGCCCACATCCAAACTACCAATGCTTTTTGCTGCCACCCAGTGCACAAGCTAGCTGCACTGCTAACATCAACTGAGGTCTGTGGAAAGTGGATACTTGCAAGGGTGTCTTAATGTTCCGTCAATTTAACGAACATGTTTATTACGAGGTTCACATATAATATTAATTTGGTATATGTATAGCAAATATGTTACACTTTAGTTCTAGCTTGTGGTTTTGTCATTACAAACAGCAGTGCATTCACATAGGATCAAATTACAGGCCTCTAGTCAGCAACTTATTTATGACACGCTGCGATGTAAATGCTGCCTTGAAAATAAGTCAACGAAAGGACTTTGTTAGGAAACCTTAACTTTGCTTTTTGCCTATGCAGGAGTGACACTTTTAAAGAAATACCAGTCAAAATCTTCAAAATGGCAAAAATAACAAGTAAGAGGTTCTAGTCGGGAGCTCCCGACTAGGGGATACCCTGAACCCTCTTCTTCCAACACCAAATGCAGATACATAAAAATGAAAAAAAAAAAAAAATTGTTCCCTTGGCAGGGTTCGAACTTGCAACGAACCGCACCACTTGCCGCTGCATCTACTCAAGGCCACATTAATAACTGAGCTTTAGTGAGAAAAAAACCAATTAATATAACAGCACAGAAAACAATACAATCGCAATTGCAATGCTGTTGATAGAATTCAAAGCAGACGCGCATGAATGTGTGTGTGTGTACATGTATACAGAAATTCTTCGAATTTGCGCAGCAGCTATGCTGCTAACACGTGCGCGCATAATTTTGTGATTCCTAACCGATCTTAATGAAATTAAGATCATAGAATAAAATAAAGAATATTTGTGTATTCTCAAAAATGCAATTGCATATAAATCGTGGCTTAAATTGATGGGCAATACAAGTTGGATAATTAACTTTATTTATAGCTTTGCGGTGGTAGCGGGGAGGTGGCGATAGGTATAAGCTGAAAGATAGTTGATATATATATACTATTCTAGAAGCTACATGTCAAGTTTGGTGACTCTAGCTCATATTATTTGCCGAAATTGCTCAAAAAACAGGATGTCAATATCGATGTTTATCGATTACTTGAAAACGGGACAAGTTATCGAATATCGGAAACAAACTCGTTCTGCGCGGGCATTAGGAGGACCTACAGCTAAAAGCCGGACGGACGGACGGACAGACAGACAGACAGACTGACATGGCTAGATCGACTCGGCTATTGATGCTGATCAAGAATATATATACTTTATGGGGTCGGAGATGCTTCCTTCTGCCTGTTACATACATTTGCACAAATACAATATACCCTGATTACCCATTTTTAATGGGTTCAGGGTATAAAAATGATCACAAAATTATTTGATAAAATGGGTGAATGCATTGATTGGAGAACTCATCATATATGAAAAATTAAAACACTTGTTAGCTTTGGATATGAACTGTGATAGCGCCAATCATCATCAATTGCAAAACATTTATGAAGAATCTATTAAAGAGAAATTTGTCGTGAAACAAAGCAATACCGAATGATTTGTACTGAACTGAACCTGCTTAACAGAGAAATTCGCGGCTTAACCACCAAATAAAGAGATAAAATGAAACGATTTCGCATCGACGTAGCAAACTCTTTTATTGTTTCATATTACTCCTCCCATCGAAAAGGAAGAAATGCCACCGAAATTGTTAGGCATTAATGAGAGAGCATTGAAAGCCCTGAAAATAATCCAAATCAGATTCATGTAGTGAAAGCGAAATAAAAATCAGCGATACCTTTCTATCACACAAGGCATATGACTCTCTAATTCTCTTGATCTCTGATTAAGTAAGCGAGCCTAACGTAAATGCAGTGGTTACCTATTTTTGCTTTTGCAGACCTATCTATGTATATGTTGTAGTGTTAGTGTTTTTATTTAATAAAATCTTAAATGAAATAAATGAAATAATTATTTTTGCATATTTTATATTTCTGCATGGGTACATAATCGTTGGCTTGTCGAACGTACGCAAATGTATTTTGACTGTAAAACTAGTAATCCAGAATTCAAAAGTATTTAAAATCTTGTTTGAATAAGCGCCCATACAAAACATTTTCAACAAGCACAAAAGTAGTAATGCAAACATGTTGAAATAATTGCCAACATGCTAGGTCAAAATTATTTTCATAGAAACCTGCAAACGTTTAGGTTCCCTTACCAAAAACAAACACAAATAACAATTTTGCACATCAACGGGCCAAACCCTTTAATAATTTCACAAACATGCCTACTCGAAAGAGAAAACATATACTATCAGTGCTTTCATTGCTATCATATCGCCGATCATAGATGTTTGGATCTGTATGCGTGTGCACAATCATCAAGGCGCATGATTGAAAATTTTAAATTTTCGATTGAATTCTTCGGGGAGCCGACGATTAATTACCATTGCAAATACGACTTTGAAGTTATTTTATTTTAAGCAAAAGACAAAAGACGACTTATTAAATCCCCACAGCATGCAACAAAATTATTATATTATATATAATTACTAAATTTATGTTATTTTAGTTTATATAACCTAGTGAAGGATATTATAATTTTGGCAAGAAGTCTGTAACGCATAGAAGGAGACATCGCAGACCCTATAAGATATATATATATATTTATTCTAGATCAGCATTAACAGCCCAATTGATATATCAGTATCCGTCTGTCTGTCTGTGTATTACTATGCGAAATAGGCTTTGAGTAAAAGCTATCGTCTTAAACGGACCATTGACCATCGTCAATATTTACATTAACAATATTAGATAGTATGAACAAACTCACCCATAAAATGGCAATGCCCAGCAAAACTCCAAATATTTTCGCATTAGTTTCCGAGTGGTGGCAGTCTGTGGCACTCGCTTGAATTGTTCTAAAAGTTTAATTTCTGCAGAGTTCTTTTGACTTATTGGCAGCCACAACCAATTTGAGCTTTTGGCAACATGTTTGGGTAAGAATCTTGACTGATTTTCTCTAAATATGCAAAAGCTTAATAAACTCAAGTTTTGTTCAATTTTGATACTCACCTAAAAAAACCCACAGTGTGCGTGAGAGAGTTGTATGGACCCAGCTCAATTCTAGCTTGAATACCACCTAGCATTAGCGAATGCACCGGCTCCATAATATATCTTCCAGTTAAGACGCAATGCTTTGCCTCTTCGTACAAAAGCTCAACAATTCGGTGATCCCTAATATTTTTTTCCGTTAACGTTAAATAATTGTTCATATAAGAACTTCAACTTACTTGATTTTTTCTTCATCCCGCTTAGAAAAAAATACATTCCTCTTTAAAACTATCATAGGTTCATCATATTTTTGTTCAATTGGATTTCCACAGCTATACTTTTCGAGCAAGTTTGGCCAAGCTACTCGCACAATATATGGACAATGATGTGATTTCAACTGCATTTCCAATAAACTACTAGTCATCCATAGTCCAAAAATACTTTGAGCTAACAACTTGTTAGAAATTCCTAATTCCTCGCATCCCAGTGCAGCTGCCAGCATTACTTGGGAAGGACAATGCGCTGTACCCTCGATTTCCATATGCACAGCAACTCTTGACATCAAATATACGCAAGTCGGAATAACCTAGTAAATAACAAAAGAATATTATCACATGTTTAGTTTATCTGTCTAACTTACATTTAGTAGAGTGCGGGTGACTACTGAATTCGATTTTCCTGCACTTGTGTAGGTAGAAGAGGAGTTACCCCCAAGCATTCGTTTTGATAATGCTGGATTTTGTTGAACGTCATTGCTGTTAGTGCATTTTTGTTGAACTGGTAAGTAATTTGTAGGAATCCCTGATTGTAAGATTAAAATAAAGCTTAGATTAAGAACTAAAAGTCATTATTACCGGATGCACTTCGAACTCCCGTCATTGGTCCAAGCAAATTGATGTTATTTATGATATTGCCGCTTATGTCTGAAATATGCAGACTACTTTGACAAGTATCATTATTTGGCATGGACATCGCTGAATTAATTTGTGCTGATGCCAAACAGTCATTCTCATTTCGACTTGCACTAACAACGCTAGATACGCTCGCGGAAGATGCAAATGCACTTCCCACAGCTGTCTGAATTTGAGCTGTTGTCACCACACGATGTACAGTATACATGACAGGTGGAACAGGTGCATTTACGGAAACCAGAGATTCTGGCGTTTGTGACCCTATTAGGTCACATGCGGTCAAATTTGCATTGCTTATATGCGTTTGGGTCGCGGCCACAACGCGCCCACTACCATTCGGATTTGAAAACATTGTACAGTCAACCGAATCATCAACAGTGTCTAAGACTGAACTTGGACTGCATGCGATCGTTTGTTGGTTATTTTGCATAAGATGGTTGTTAGAATTTTGATTGATGTGTTGCAGTTGATGTTGAATGTGTTGATAATTTTGTATTGGCTGTGACATTTGATGGTGAGAGGGCACAGTATTTTCATTACTGCATTTCACATTATTTCCTACATAGTAATTGTCACGACACTTGCCATCCGTGGTGTTGTAATACACGCGTGAGCTGTCAAAAGCGCACAAGAATTTATTTTTAATTTATAATATGTAAAAAGACGGATGATGACTTACTGGTAATCCTGGGACGATGACTTCTTGCGATTATATTGCAACGTGCCCAATGGTACAGTCATTATATTTATATAATTTCCAGTGTTACTCGTATTATTAGTACATTGACTACTGTTATTACAGTTAGAAAATACATAAGGGCTTTCGGTGCTCCGATTTCCTATTTGAGATTTAATGTTTCCATTTCTTAAAGGCATACCCCTTGAATTGAATCCCGATTCCAAATGATTTGAAGTACAAGCGGCGTATTCTTGAGCAACATTGCTTTCATAGCACATTTTATTTAAGGGCTGTTGACAAATTGATGATGAAGATAAACTCTGCTGAGTTCCACTTTGGCAATAATATTGGTTTGTCTCCATATTGTCATATTTTATAAATAAATCGACTGCAATTCAAAGAAACATAATAATTAAAAATCATTTTTATACGTTTTCATTGATGTTTTTGTCCCATAAGCATTTAAGCATTGAAAAAGGCTTTGATCTCGAAACATCATATCATAACCAAAACTATCAAGTTGAAGTCCTCTCGTCGATACAGCTCGACTAGGGGATACTCGGAACATTTTTCTACTATCATCAAATGCAGCTCGCGATTCGCGGTCCTTTGCCTCGATATTAATAAAAAAAATTAACATACAGAATTCAAATACACCACTACTGTACTGTGTATTATTATTATTTATATATATCAAACTTCTCTCAACCATTAAGTACAACAGGTCGATATATACTGTAAGTAATATTAATCCGATTAAGGTCATGAAAAATACAAATAAGAATAAATCATATCGGAACACGAGAACACGAATTGAATAAATAAAAAAAGACAGGTCAGCAAAGTAATTTAGACAACGGTGTAAATAACACAATCCTACGATTATTTGGAATGAATATGGGTACCTAGGATACAGGATATCGAACATAAGGACAAATGAGATTCACGTCGACGAAATCAGAAGAATGCTAGGCAAACCAACTATTACTTAAAGTTTAGTTTGAAGACTAGCAACTGATTAAGTTTAGGCATGGGCAGTTGACTGAATCGGAAGTTGAAATAGTCAGCGAATTCCAAAGACGACTTATTAAATGAAAGAAAAAATCATAATTATTATAAATTTAATGGACTTGAAAGCCTTAGCTAGGTTGGATCTAATTAGTCTACCTATTCTGGACAGTGTAGATATCAAGGAATTTTCAAATAATACCACACCAATATTGAAATCTTCATTTTAGTATTCTGATAAATAATAAATATTTAAATAATAATAATAATAATAAATAATCGAAACCTTAATTCGTTCGTAACTTTTATTTAATAGGACGGCTGTCGAGCCGATTGCGATGCGCAGCCCTATGTCATTCATGTAAATGCAAAAGAAAGCGGGCTTTGACTTGCGCTCAATAGCTGGTGTCTGGATCCCAAAATATAAGCTCTAAGATGAGTAACATCAGAATGCGACGCAATATTTCTATTATGTCTTTTCGCTCTTTAAACGATACTATAGCCGAGTGGCTTTTCGGTTTCGCCATCGGGTACCGGTAACATTGGTTGACAAGGACATTCCAATTATCAACGATGTAACTAAAAAAGTCGATAATATTAATGGTATCAGTCAGCTAGTCGGGATATACTTGGCGATCTATGACGACTGCATTGACTTGACAAGCCATCCAGAAAGCATTGGCTTACTGTTTCTCCACGGGCTTATTCTGATGAATCTTAGACTGGCGACCCACAATCGGAAGTATTATGAAGGCCAATGTTCAGCAGTGCAATTGTTTTGATTTGCTTTGGGGTCATTTGTTATTTTGATCGTATGCGTCGCACTGAGTCAGACATCGCGATAAGCGCCCATGTAAACCCAAAGACACTACCGCATATTAATTCCACGCGCAGATCCACATGTAATACATATGAGCAAAATCTTATCAAAATCGAATTACTATATTATATAGCTCTATAGGGAGAATCGGTCGCAATATGAGTGTTTCGTTCAACAATTTTTCCATTTTTAAGGATTTCCTCGCAAAACTTAGCACTTAAGATCTTCACAGATTACCGTTTTTGATCCCTTTGAATTTTCAGTAGTACGAAAATTACTCGTGTTCTATGCAAAACTCGATGCGTAAATGTTCATGTTTGCATCCTTTTTATACAAACCAGCCCACACAAACACGCACGCTCCTGCTGCGAATTTTACACAGTGGCCGTGTTTCCCTCGGCACTACTCAATGGTGATTATTGTCCGATCTGCATAAAACGTGTATAAATAAGCCATCTAAAAATGCATAAATACAAATGCACGAGACTATACTTCCAAAAATTGGGTTATTGCAACCTTCGGGTAACGAAGGAAGAATACAAAATGTAATATAAAGTGGATCTGTTAAAAATTTTACATTTATTTCCTAAATTAGACTCGAACCCGTAACCGACCGAACAACTCTCCATCGACTCTACAATACAACATACAGAACAATCGCAATTGAAACTATGTTTATAGAATTAAATAAATATGCACATACACGTACATATGTGTACCTCTATAAAGAAATTCTTGCAATTTGGGCTAGCTGCCGGAAACACATGACTTGTCAATATAATCATTTTGTATACCCTGAACCCATTGAAAATGGGTATAAAGGGTATAATGTATTTGTGCAAATGTATGTAACAGGCGGAAGGAAACATCTCCGTCCCCATAAAGTATATATATTCTTGATCAGCATCAACAGCCGAGTCGATTTAGCCATGTCCGTCTGTCCGTGCGTCCGTATGTATGAACGCAAGGATCTCAGAACCTATAAGAGCTTGAAATTTTAGCTGTAGGTCCTCCTAGTCCATGAGCAGATCGAGTTTGTTTCCGATAATCGATAACTTTCCCCGTTTCCAAGTAGTCGATCAAAATCTATATCGAAATCTTGTTTTTTGAGCAATTTTGGTAAATATAAAGAGCTCGAGTCACCAAACTTGACATGTAGCTTCTAGAATAGTATATACAAGTATATATAGGTATATATCAAGTATCTTTCATTTTATAGCTATCGCCACCTCCCCGCTACCACCTAAAAGCTATAAATCATGTTAGTAAACCAACTTGTATTGCCTATCTAATTAAGCCACAAATTAAATGGAATTGTCATTTTGAGAATACACAAATATTTTATAGTAAAATAGATCTACTACTGAAAATTTGATCAAGATCGGGTAAGAAACACAAAAGAAAATGTGTTTCGGCTGCCCACGTGTTTGCGTTAGCTAGCGCAAATTGCAAGAATTTCTGTACACATGTACACTCACACATTCATGCGCGTCTTCTTTGAAATCTATCAACAGCATTGCAATTGCGATTGTATTGTTTTCTGTGCTGCTATTTTAATTTGTTTTTTACTTATTAATAATTGGTGTGGCTGTTGAGTAGAGGCGACTGCAAGTAGTGCGGTTAGTGGCGAGTTCGAACCCTGCCATGTTTTTTTTTAATTTATCTTTATCACTAAAGCAAACGAGCGCGTAGCGCAAGCTGCATTTGATGTTGGAATAAGAGGGTTCAGGGTATCCCCTCGTCGGGAGCTTCCAATTAGAACTAGATGCAATCCATTTAATTCTGGCCAACTGCGAAAAGCAAAGTTTTTGCAAAAGGAAAAGTTTTTTATTGGCTACTGGACGTGTACATATTAAAATAAAAAAAAAATTTTAATTAAAAAGAAAATTGAATCCAGCTATATTTAGAGTAATAGTTTTGCTGTATTTTGTTTAGTTTTGGTAAAATAGGAAATTTTAACATACAAAATATGCACTGACGCATGCATCCTGTGTGAGAATCACACAGTAACATATTACAACAAAGATGAAAAGTTGTGTTAACTGAAGTAATCTTTTATATTCTTTTTATTAGGGTCTACCATGTTAAGAATTCGGGTATCGAGAGTTGTGTGAACTTTTACCCATTTTCAATGGGTTCAAGGTTTTTTTATAAAATTAACCTTAAAAATATCAATCGATATTTCGCATAAATATAAAGTAAACAAATAAAATCATGTTCATTAATAATTTAGCCAAAAACTGCACTTTTTAGAATTTTTACCATTTAAGGGCCATAGCTAGAATTATTAAATAATAATAACAAAAAAACAATTATATCTTCTTTTCGGGTTCTAGTCTTTATCAACGGAAAGAATAAATTTCTATAGCCTTACCGCCATACTAACATTAGAACTTTTACGGAAACGAACTGAACTAAGAGAGCAGCGCGCATTTATACAGCTCGGTACACAATACAATCGCAATTATAATTCTTTTAAATGAATTAGAAAAGAATACGCATTTCATATGAGTATATGTATGTTAATGTACACAGAAATTCGTAAGCTTGACGGTAACTGCAACGTTGTTCGCTAATATGAATGTTTAATAAGTTTTGTGTTTCATAACCAATGCGATGGAACTTTTTACATTACTGTGCCAGAGAATACTTGTATTCCCAAAACGACATCAACTTTAAAAATATGTATGTATGTATTTGGTGGCTGGCTCCACTCGGAATTTTAATTTATTTTATTTCTCGAAAGGAGTATACAAAAGATAGAAATTTGTCAACTTTTTATAATATACCCTGAACCCATTGACAATGTGTCAAAAGGATGTGTGCAAGTATATATTGCCTGTTGGCAGAAAGAAGCATCTCCGATTCCATAAAGCATTTAACTTCTTGGTAAGCATCAATAGCCAAATAAACTAATCATGTTTAAATATTTTTTGAACCCATTAAAATGTGTAAGAAAAAGTAAGTAACACGCATAAGAAAGTATCTTCGTACCGATAAAGTGAATAGGGGGTATATACCGGTCTTGCCCGTGGCTAGCTTTGAATTTTAGAATTTAAAATATAACACTTTGCTCTAGTGATAAATTTAAATCTGCTCGTACCATCTTAAGCACCACGTCTATTTGAAATTATGTTTAAGGTCTATCGAAAAAATAACTAATAGGTCAAATCAACGGTTGCCGACAATGTTAGTCTTGTAATGAGAGGCTTGAAACAGTAAAGCAAACTTTTCTACAATAAACCCATTTTCCATCCAAAAGCGGTGGATTTTGGGAAAAATGTTTAAGTACGTTTTTACGAGTATCTCTGAAAATGATTTCGTAACTAAACATTTCGCCCAAAAAACCTTTGCGCTTGCGCTTTGCAAAAAGTGTAAAACACGTATCAAATGATTTTTCATATGGATCTTTGGAAATAAATAAATAAATGTGAATCTGAACCCCATTTTCACCAAGGAAGAATGGACATTTCGAAAAGTGTGAAGTGTACAAATTAATGTGAACAATTGTCTTTAAAAAATTGCGTTGATCATCAATCAGTCAGGAAAAAACAGTTTTATATAGAAATTTTTCATTTTTAATTAACTTGAGCTGAGTCGATAATTTCGGAAAAAATAAAACTTAGAGACCTGAAAGTTAAAATCGATATTAATACATGGTTTTTTAAGTTTTTTAAGTAACTTAAGTAACAAACTAAAAGAGCTAAATTAGCCAAAATTGGTGTATTTTTTCGTAAAGTATAAGTATTAAGGTAAGATATTAGATTTTTAAGATAAAGCTCTGCGCTTTGGGTGCCATATTTAAGCTCCAGATATATAAACTATATATTTCAGAATATTTACCAAATGTGTTAAATGCGCAGCCTGCGGCGAACGTGCTTGATATTGTTGTTGCAAGTCATTGTATACATGTACATTGTATGTATGTACTTATGTATGTACATACATATGTTATGTTATGTTTGGCGCTGGGTTCAACGTATGTAACTCCTAATCGGGCACCCCCAACTTGAGCGCAATTACTTAATTTAGATAAAATAACTACTAACTTATAAGTATTACCATTTTTTATACCTTGTTCTGACTTAGGATATACATATGTATATATCTTGATCTAAATAAATGTGTATGAAGATTTACATTTTTAACAATACAAAGACTATTCGAATCAAACGAGTGCGTCTTACCTGTTCTTCCTTCTTGATAAGTATTGATATAATACACGAACTGTTATAATTTAAAATTTTAGTATTTGGTATAAATATATTAAAAAATACACTCGTGCTCACTAGTTTCGCAAAATCCATATACCCATGCCCAAAGAATTTTGATGTACATATACATATACTCATACGTATTGTATGTACTTATACGTGTACTTAAAGTCATAGGAATCATTGAAAACATATGTACATAGGAAACTCGTATAAATCTGACGGTGAGTCTACGTCGTGTACACACATACATATGTATATACATAAGTGACTATACGTGATAAATATAGAGTATTAAAGTCCATTACTTACAAAATGTATAACATTTGTAACTATTAACGCTCACTTATATATATAAAGATAATATATATATAGGATATATATATCCTTATCTCACACACATATGTATGTATGTACATACATATATAAAATTTCATTTACAAAAAAAGAAAGAAAAGAAAAGCAAAAATTTTCCTCCATACAACAATCGTTACGTACGCCTATTCTACTTGTTTTTTACTTTATTTACAATTTCTTCCGTATCTTTTCAGTTGTTATTTTTTTTCAATTTCTAGAATCACAAACTAAATGTATATTTTTAATAAGCAAATGACAAAATACACTTAGCACCAAAACAAATACAATACATTTTGTATACTACACGTCCCCTGTAAACAAATATATGCATACTTCTTTACCAAACTGGTCTACCCTTACCTTGCTTTTCCTAGCGCATGCGCAAAAATTATTGTGCGCTTATACAAATAAAGTCTCTTCGATAACAGTGTTGAACGAATGGATTCAAATGCTCTTACAGGGTCCTTAACTTAGAAACTTTTAACAGCATTAACATAACTGAGGATGTTAATTAAATCTCATATCTCTCACAGCTGTGTGAAACGAAGTTTGTTAACTCCAACAAGAAATTGACTTGAAATGTGGTATCCCTATTTTTTATACCCTGAACCCATTGAAAGTGGATAAAAAGAATATAATGTATTTGTGACTCCGACCCCAAAAGATCAGTATCAATAGCCATGTCGTTCTCCTCTTTCAAGCGAACAGACGTGTTTTTTTTTTGTGCTCCCCGTTTTGATTTGAATAAAGAACCCGTGTTTTAATAACTGTATTTAAAATATTCCATTATTCTGTTTGCCTTCTCTGTTTAATTTTTTCCTTTATTACGAGTGCATGCTTGTGGCCAGTGCATTTTAACATATTTATAAATATTGTTACTTTTAAATTTGTGAACTTGTGCATTTTTGTTTGTGCGCTTGCGCTATTAGATCTGTGACATTGAGTAATAAATATACAGAGGAGGCTTTTGGATCAAAAGCTCTTTTTCAAAAAATGTGAAGCAAGATTGCGAGGTTGCAAACACAACACCCGGCTGTCTGCAGCTACATACTTCTGCCAATGCCCAAAATTCAATGACAACTTCAGAACATTTTCAATAAGAACCAACAACAACAAGTAAGAGGTTCTACTCGGCAGGTCCCGACTAGGGGATACCCTGAACCCTCTGCTTTCAACAGGCGATAGGTATTAAATGAAAGATACTTGATATATATATACTATTCTTGAAGCTACATGTCAAGTTTGGTGACTCTATCTCATATTATTTGCCGAAATTGCTCAAAAGACAGGATTTCGATATCAATTTTTATCGATTACTTGGAAACGGGGCAAGCTATCGAGTATCGGAAACAAACTCAATCTGCGCGGGAACCCATTGAAAATGGGTAAAAGGGTTATTATGTATTTGTGTATGTAACAGGCAGAAGGAAGAATCTCCGACCCCATAAAGTATTCTTGAGCAGCATCAATAGCCGAATCGATCTACCCATGTCCGTCTGTCTGTCCGTATGTACGAATGCAAGGATCTCAGAACCTATTAGAGCTAAAGACTTGAAATTAGCTGTAGGTCCTCCTAGTCCCCGCGCAGATCGTGTTTGTTTCCGATAGTCGATAACTTGCCCCGTTTCCAATTAATCGATAAAAATCGATATCGAAATCCTGTTTTTTGAGCAATTTCGGCAAATAATATGAGCTAGAGTCACCAAACTTGACATGTAGCTTCTAGAATAGTATTTATATATCAAGTATTTTTAATTTTATACCTATCGCCTGTCGGAAGAAGAGGGTTTAGAGTATCCCCTAGTCGGGAGCACCCGACTAGAATCTATTGTTATAATTTTCACTTTTCGACCAGCAAGGCACCGTTTCTCAAAATAGGGTATTTTGACTATTGATCAGTGCTGGAAGCAAAAAGCACAAACCTTTTTATAAACAAATTTTTATCCAATGTCTGAGTAAAATATAATTTCGAATTTACTGTGCAACTATGGTAAATCAAAAATAATTGTTTTCTTAAAATAATATACACCATTAATATAAATCATAATTGTTGTTGGCGCATGTGTCTCAGCACACATATTTTGGTGCAAGTGTACATGTATATGTGTCCACCAAGCCAAGGCAAGTATATAAATTTAAGAAGATTGCAACATTCTGTTGCGCATGTGACGTCACAGGCTAGGGCTTTTTGTGTGCGATCGTTGCGTACAGTAAATTAGCGCATTTGTAAATAAATTCATTATTATAAAATCCCCATTAATAAATTACTTAAATGTACGTAATAAATATAAAAATATATTCTAATCATCACTAGAAATAAAAATTCTATGAAATGTGTCGTCATTTTTGTTGTTGACGCGCCGTGTGCGTAACCCTTTGATTTGAATGGCATGGCCTGCTAGCATTCCAATTTTCTATCTACTTGCGCCGGACTCGGTTTTGCAGCAACAACATTACAACCCAAATCGTGTTGTTGTTGCTTTTACGCGCTGCCTTGTTGGAACGACAGAGAAACCAGCAACAAACACAGTGGCATTATTTGTCCCTTTTCTTTGCACTGAGTTGTCAGCGATCAAAACAGACGACGAAAAAAAAATGGGGTTTCGTGCGCACTGTTGTTGTTGCTTCCTATGGTAAATGAGCTTTATTTTTTGTGTTTGATCGTGCGTTTGCAGACCAACCTTATCCACCTTGCGCCATTTTTAAAACGGTAATTAAAGCTGAGTGACTTTTCTGCTCTGTATCTGTTTATTACACTATGGATCTGTGTGATAGTTAGATTAGTCTCTCGCGCTCTATCATCTTTTTTTCTTGTTGTTGTAGATACCATTAATCTTAATAACTCTCTTTTTACATTTGGCTGCGTTGTTACAGTAGAGACTCATAATAATGGACCACAAAATTGTCTGCTTTAAAGAAACTTCCCAAAAGCAAATTACGGCAAGTCAAGCTAGCATACCTTGTTGGCTATGTGATAATGTCGTTCATTCTAAATGTGCGGGTTCAACTGGCCTATTGTTTGCTCCATAGAGTAATAAATATACAGAGGAGGCTTTTGGATCAAAAGCTCTTTTTCAAAAAATGTGAAGTAAGATTGCGAGGCTGCAAACACAAAATGCAAACACAACACCCGGCTGTCTACAGTTACTTCTGCCGTTGCCCAAAAATCAAAGACAACTTCTGAACATTTCCCATATGAGCCAACAACAACCATAATTAAAACAAACGACTCGACAATGAAAAAAGCACACCACAAATTCTGTCCCTTTTTGTTTTGAGGCTACAGACTATAATCGTCGTTTCTGCACACTTCTAACTCATTATTGTGGTTTCTAAACACTGTTATGCCTATAATTAGCAAAGTCCCAAAGTCATGTCTTCTTCTTCTCCACTCGCTTTCAACTTGCAAGCAGCCAGGCAGATTTGTCATTTTCGAACAGCAAGGCACCCTTTCTCAAAATAGGGTATTTTAAATATTCATAAGTTCTGTCACCAAATAGCACAAGCCTTGTCATATACACATTTTTATCTAATGTCTAAGAAAAATATAATTTCATATTTAGTGTGCAAATATTTGTACAATCAATTTTAATTTTTTTCGTTAAACATTCAATACCATTTCTATAAATAAAGGTATCAATGCCTCGACGCGCCAAATAGTTGTTGGTATATGTGTCTCATCTCTCACACATTGGCAAAAATCTGCATGTATGTGTCTGCCAAGCCAAGGGAAGTATATGAATTTAAAAAGATTGCAACATTCTGTTGCGCATGTGTCGTCACAGCCTAAGGCTTTCTTTGCGTTCAGAAAATTAGCACATTTGTAAATAAATTCATTATTATAAAAAACCCTATTATATATAAATTGCTTAAATGTACGTAATAAATATAGAAATATATTTACGTACGATCACACACAAAAAGCCCTAGCCGGTGACGTCACATGCGCAACAGAATGTTGCAATCTTTTTAAATTCATATACTTGCACCAAAATATGTGCGTTGAGACACATACGTTAACAACAATTAGGCGCGTCGAGGCATTGTTACCCTTATTTATAGTAATAGTGTATAATGTTTAAAGAAAATAATTATTATTGATTGTTCGAATAGTTGCACAGTTAATTCTAAATTATATTTTACTCAGGATAAAAATTTGTATATAAGAGGGTGTTGGATCAAAAGCGTTTTTTTGACCTTTTAAGAATCTTATCTCAAGTGGGCGTGTGTGGATGGTATGAAGTTTTAATAAAGGTTTTACAAATTGATGAGCAACACGACTGACTTCTATGATGATGCTTACAGAACTGATTTCTTAACATAAATTAAGATTAAAGGGACCGAGCAATTACAGAGTTCGAAAGAGAGCGAGACTTCGTACATGTGTATGAGTGCTTATGACATTCAAATAGAAGAGAATTAGCATAATCTTAACATAATCTGCTTTGACATTGCTATTGATACCCTGACTAATGTATATATGAGGTATATGACCGAACATCCCGGCCGCCTTAAAAGAATTATCTTTCAAGAGACAGGTAGAACAGCCAGCTTATGTACTGGCCGGCAACAGAGTCCAGAGGCAGTGCGAATATATGCAACACGAACCCGGTCATCTTTGCCACTCACAACAGACTCAACACTCCCTAATTTCCAGTGTAATGGCGGTGTGTTGTCCTCATGTATGATGACCATAGAGTCAACTGTGAGATTTGGGGAAGCCGAAGTCCACTTTGTCCTGGCTCGAAGCTCGTTCACATACTCCGCAGACCAACGACGCCAGAATTGCTGTTTAACAGCTGTGATCTGCTCGTAACGATCCAAGTTGGAGATGTTGTTGGTGATAATCTCACGCTCGGGCAAAGCGCGCGGTGCATCTCCATTTAGAAAGTGTCCTGCAGTGAGAGCGCTGAAGTCGTTGGGATCAGATGATAGCGGTGACAGCGGGCGAGAGTTGAGTACTGCTTCTATCTCAACGACTGCGGTGTTCAGTTCCTCAAAGGTGAACCGGGTGTTAGCGAGGGTACGCACCAGCAGACTCTTTGCGCTCTTGACAGCGGCCTCCCAAAGACCGCCAAAGTGTGGAGCCCTAGGTGGAATGAAATGAAAGGTTATCTCTTCAGAGGAACAATATGATGGGATAGCATCTTGAGTGCTAGTGTTGAACATGAACTTCTTTAACTCGAGTAGCTTGTTGGATGCTCCGACAAAATTTGTGGCGTTGTCACAATAGATGTGCGATACTGGTCCACGACGGGCAACCATGCGTTTCAACGATTCCAAAAACTTATTCGTTGAAAGATCTGACACGATTTCAACGGCCTTTACGGCCATGCAGACATATATGGCGATATAGGATTTTGTGGGGCCCTTGCCACGTATTCGAAGATAGGTGTTCACTGGACCGCAGAAGTCGACTCCAACGTGGCGAAATGGCTTGTCTGTGGATAAGCGCTCAGGTGGCAGGGAACCCATGACTTGACGAAGTAGAACTGGACGATATCTGACACAGTGTACACAAGAACGAACAATGCTGCGTGCTAAAGCTCTTGCGTTTATGACCCAGAATTGAAGCCGCAGCAGTCCAACTAATGCCTTTGGTCCTGCATGGTAATTGCGCAAGTGAAGATACCGAACATAATTGTGGACAAATTGCGATTCCTTGGGAACAAGTAAAGAATGCCTTTGACGAGAGGGGATATCAGCATGCTCGAGTCTGCCGCCAACCTTAATGAGCTCGTATCCAGAAGAGTCATCTATGAAGGGGCTGAGAAATTTCAGATTGCTTTTCAAATCTCTTTGTTTTCTTAGCAATTGCAAATCTTCCTTGAAATAGTGCTGTTGGATGATCCTGATGATGCAGTGCAACGCGTGGCGAAGTTCTTCTGGGCATGGCGGCGAACTTTCGACAGGGTGTTCCTTTTTGGCAATATGGTAAAACCGGAACATATATGCCATAACTCGAAGCGCCCGAATGTATGAACTAGTTCCGTTCAGCCAGTCCAGTCCAGTTTCGATAATTGCAGCAAATGTAGACTTCCGTTTTTCAGCATCGATAATGTCCATGTCCAAATCATTGTCGAATTGTTGGCAGGGCCATTGAGTCTCGGAATCACGCAGAAACGCAGGTCCTGTAAACCAAATTGATTGCTGGAGCTCATTAGCTGGGCATCCACGTGACACGATGTCAGCAGGGTTCAATTTTGACGGTACATGTCTCCACTTTCCATCTGCTGTTTGATCTTGTATAATGGATACTCTATTTCCAACAAATGTCGACAAGGTGATAGAGTGTTGTTGCAGCCAGTGCAAGACAATCTGCGAATCAGACCAGAAATGCGCGCTGTGCGGCTTGCCGATGAATATGTTTTTGACAGTTGTATATAACTTACTCAGAAGTTGAGTTCCGCTTAACTCTAATCGAGGAAGCGTCAGCTTCTTGACAGGAGCCACCTGAGATTTAGCTGTCAGAAGCTGAACCTGGACATTGCCATATGAGTCCGTGGAACGCACATATACGCAACAGCCGTAAGCACGTATTGATGCGTCACATAAAGCGTGCAGTTGTATGTCTGTGAGCTCAGCTTGCAAGCAAAAACGGGGTACTGAGATCGACGACAATTCCTTGAGAGACGTTACGTAGTTTCTCCATGCTTGTAGAAGTGATTGCGGAACAGATTCATCCCAGGCGAGTTTTAGCAGCCATAGCTCCTGTATGATGATTTTCGAGACGATAATGATTGGTGCCAGCAATCCTAATGGATCGAACAGAGAAGACGCAGTCGAGAGAATAGTCCTCTTTGTGACTGTTGAATACAATTTTTTGGGTTTAAATTCAAATAGTAGCACATCACGACGTTGATCCCAGGCTACGCCAAGTGCGCTAGTGACAGCGTTTTCATCCAAGTTTAAATCCTTTACCGATTCGTCGTTCCTGACGGCCGGATGATTGGAGTGCCACTTAACCAATGGGAAGTGTCCTCGGCGAAGTATCTCGGTGACCTCGTGTTTAATGTTCTGCAACTCGATGAGCTCGTTTGCTCCGCATAGCAGATCATCAACATAAAACGATGATTTTACAATGGATGCGCCAATGGGAAACTCGTTCACATGCAGATCTGCCAGATATTGCAAACTGCGAACTGCTAAGTATGGGGCCGAGGCCGTTCCATACGTCACTGTATTTAGCTCAAAGGTCTGCAAGTCAGCATCAGGGGATGCTCTCCAAAATATATATTGAAATTTCCGATCCACTGGGCTGATTAAAACTTGTCTATACATTTTCGTAATGTCCGCTGTGATGGCGTAACGAACCAATCGAAAACGAAGGAGAAGTATATACAGATCTTCTTGGAGTGTTGGGCCAACGAGAAGCAAATCATTCAATGAATGCTGGGACGATGTAGTGCACGAGGCGTCAAACACGACTCGTAACTTCGTTGATGCACTGCTGGGTTTAAAAACACAATGGTGAGGTATATAAAAGTGTGGCTCACTTAATCTCGGATTCGTCACTAAAGTCATATGGCCAAGATCCTCATATTCTTTCATCGCCTCTCGAGCGATAAAAAACGACGACGTGCAACATCGCTTGAATTGCCAAGGCACACTGGATCTCCCTTGAAAGGTAGACGCACAACAATCCTACCGCTATTCATCTGTGTTGTCCTAGAATACATATCTTCACAGAGCCGATGTTCTGGATTGGTTGACTTTGGAGAATTTTCTAGAGCATCAATGCTCCACAGTAATTGAAGATTTTTGTCAATTGACTCCTCCACAGAAAGCAAGCACGTTGATGACTGCTTAGCTGACTGATGACGATACTTGCCAGACACAACCCATCCAAGCAACGTTTTCTGAAGGACTGGCAATTGTCTCCGAGCTTAATCTGTCCAACAGCCAGGCATTCGAAAAATGCCTCGGTGCCGAGAAGGAGATCAATCCGACCTGACCTGTGGAAAGTTTCGTCCGCAAGTGGTGTATTCGCGGGCAACCTCCAATCTGAGGTGTCGATTTCCGAATCCGGCTGGTAGGCAATGTGAGACGTTATGCAGAATTGTAGTGTTACTGCAAATGGTGACAAACGAGATTTAATTCCAGTAGTTGTACAGTTGTTAATTTTAGTCGAGGTCTCCCCTATGCTGCGGATTTCGAAATGATGCTTCTGACGGCGTAGATGCAGCCGTTGGGCGAATTGATCAGTTATGAAATTGACTTGGGAACATGAGTCAAGCAATGCTCTGCCTTGTTTATACGCCCCTGATGAATCTCGCACTAGTACCTTTGCAGTAGCAAGAATTATTTGTCCGCCTGGCGATTGATTCATATGCGAGTGCGTTGCAGAAGGAGTCGTTGTTGAGGACATTTGCGCCATGGATGATGGCGATGTAGACGATGATGATGCAGGCGGTTGGCCAAAATGCAGAAGCGTGTGATGGCGATGCTTGCAGCTTCGACAACGATTGTTAGACGGACATTGTCCATCCGATGTCCTAATTGAAGGCAATTAATGCAAAGTCCAGCATTTTTTACGACTCCGTACTTGAGTTTAGGACTCATGTCTTGAAACTGAGAACAATGTACAATTTTATGGTCGGAGCTGGAACAAACAATGCATGTTGGATTAGTAATAGCAAATGATAATCCCTTGCTAGGCTTGTACACGTGTTTTTGTTTCGAAGAATCAGCCATTCGATACGATGCAATGCCGCTTGATTGCAGGAACTGACAATGACGTTCCAAAATAGTTGTGCAGTGAGCCCAATTTGGCAATGTACGTAAGTCAAGAGACTCATTCCACTTGTTACGAGTTTGCTGGTCACATTTTCCGATGACGATGAATATCAACATGGCTTGGGCAATATCTGATCCGGTACCCAATGACGATAATGATGAATACAGGGCTGACGCATTGTCCAGCAGACTGCGCAGCTGATTTCCGTCCGGTTTGTCGACTGGCTGTAGATTGAATAGTGCTTCTATTGTGTCTAAAAATGTAAGTGTGGGATTGTCATAACGTTCACTTAAACGAGCAAGAGCCTTGGGATAGTTTTCCTGAGTCACTTGGAATGCCTTTACTGCCTGAAGGGCAGGGCCCTTCAAGCAATTCAGCAGATGATTAAACTTTTCAATGTTCGAAAGAGAGTACTCACGACCGATAATCTGATTGAATGATGTAATGAAGTTTTTAAACTCTGATCGTTTCCCATCAAATACAGGCGGAGCCAATCGAGGAAGTCTCGATGGCGGCGAAGAGCGAATTGGAGCAGGGTTAGAAAATGAGGTGCTGTGCAGTACATCATCCAGTTGGGATTGGATGGACAATTTGATGCTCACATATGTATCTTCAATCTCTGCACGTCCATTGTCCTGAGGATCTTCCAATTCAATTTCAGATTGTACTTCCAAAACCTCCTTAATGTATATCTCCAACATGTCCAAGCGTAATTGTAGCTCACCGTGTGATAATCTTTTTTCACTGCCATCGACCTCAGTAGACACTCTTACAACATCCTCTAAGTGTGCGATATTGCGTTTTATGTTTGCTCGCTTACGTAAGTTTGCTTCAAGAGTTGACATTATGTATCGAGAATGTTGTGATCACCGATGTGACCGAGCGACAGTTCTGATACTGCAAAATGTTCACAGCCTAACTTTAACCTGATAATGTTACTCTCACCGATGTGAGCGAGCGACAGTTCAAATGCTCCCACTGTTAACAGAACAGCTAAGACTTGTAAATGTTGCGCTCACCGATGTGAGGGTCGCTTGAAGTGATGAAGCAAAAATGCAGTGAACAAGCAGAGGCAGCGAGCTCCCAGCGACGAAGCAACGGTAACGAGAATGCAGCGAATTCCAGCGACGAAGCAACGGCAACGAGAAAGGAGCTGTGAAGCAATGGCAATGAGCAATCAAACTCAGAGCGTATCCAGCGCGAAGTAACGGCTACAAGAATGCAGTAGCGAAGCGAAGGTAGCGAGTTTCCAGCGACGAAGCAACGGCAACGAGAAAGAAGAGCTGGCCAAATGTTGCTGTCGTTGCTGTATTTTGCGAAGAGTTCGATAAAACCTTTCTCCAACGAAATGTTGTGCGGCAACGATATGCCGTCAATTTCCACACACTAGCCCACTTGAGATAAGATTCTTAAAAGGTCAAAAAAAGAATTAAGAATCTTATCTCAAGTGGGCGTGTGTGGATGGTATGAAGTTTTAATAAAGGTTTTACAAATTGATGAGCAACACGACTGACTTCTATGATGATGCTTACAGAACTGATTTCTTAACATAAATTAAGATTAAAGGCACCGAGCAATTACAGAGTTCGAAAGAGAGCGAGACTTCGTACATGTGTATGAGTGCTTATGACATTCAAATAGAAGAAAGGTACACCCCGCGTAGCAGAGTCAATAACGAACCTCTAAATATGAGATTTGTTGACCTGAGGAAAGCGGAGAACAATAACCTTGTCAAATCAATAACAGTACTATGCAGGCACAAAGTTTCGTGGGACAAGCCTCGCAAGACGTCGGGCCCTGTACAATGCAACAGATGCCAAGAGCACGGGCACACAAAATCTTACTGCTCGAGACACTATGTGTGCAAGGAGTGTGGGGACAACCATCCAAGCAACGAGTGCACACTTGGCAAGGACGAGAATCGGTGTTGTCACCACTGTGGAGAAGCACACGCAGCAAACTTCAAAGGCTGCAAGAAGTACCTGCAATATGCTTTCCAGCAGAAAAACCAGCACAAGGCAAATGGCAGAGATGCAAGCCGCTCCAGAGATCCCCGTCCCAAAACAGCCGCTCCTGCCTGCAGCTTCGTGCCCGGCCAACAATCCTTTGCCAGTGTCCTCCGCGGTACCCAGCCCGCAGAGCGCAGTGCCCGCTCATCGTCTCGCAGAAGGAACACTGACAGTACTCCCAGCCAATCACAACCTGTTGCCGACAACTGCCCCAACTCAGCCCTTGAGCTCATGATGAAGCAAATGTTCGCCAGATTCGACCAACTGATGTCTCTCATACAGACTCTTTTACAAGCGCTAATGCACACTAGCGCCAAAAATAACAGTGCCTAAAATGAGCTCCCTCAGGATAGCACTTTGGAACGCCAACGGAGTCTTTTCGAAAGCGAATGAGATCACAGCCTTCATCGAACTCCACCACATCGATGTGTTTCTGCTCACGGAGACTCACTTCTGCTCTCGAATCACCCTCAGAGTGCAAGGCTACACTCTCCACACCGCCAACCACCCAGACAACAGCCAACATGGAGGAGCAGCAATATTGATCAGGTCGTCCTTGTCGCACCACCCACTTGAGTCATCCTGCCACTGGCATATGCAAGCTGCTGCTATCCGACTCGGATCCAGCAGAGGCGACTTCAATCTCGCCTCTGTATACTGCCCTCCAGCCTTGAGAGTGACTGAGGCACACTTTCAAGCCCTTTTCGACCAGCTTGGCCCCAAATTCCTGGCAGGAGGAGACTGGAATGCCAAACATCGCTGGTGGGGAAACTACCGCATGTGCCCCGAGGGAGAACGCTCTTCTCTGCCATTGAGAATGAAGGCATCGAAGTCATAGCCACTTTAGAGGCAACGTGCTACCCATATAGGGCTACTGCAACACCAAGTGCACTTGACTTCGGGCTCTACAAGGGATTCAGACAGGAACAGCTGCGAATACGAAGCCTCCTTGACCTGACGTCGGATCACCTCCCATTACTGATTGAGCTCGAGGAGACTCCCAAGTGGGAAGTTAGAATCCCCAAAATGCTCCCGCCGCGCTCTAACTTGGAAGTATACCGGGCCTGCCTCGAGGACACATTAGAGCTCAACGTCACCATAAATACGGCAAGTGAACTGGAGAGCTACGTTGACCACCTCACAGCGAAAATTACGGAAGCTGCTAGACGTGCAGCCCCGCAAACCCTGCCTCACACTCGTACCTTCAGAAGGTCCCTACTAAGCCCTGAAGCCAGGAGTCTCCTTGCCGACAAAAGACGTCTAAGAAGGCTGTACATCCGCAACGGAGACCTCTCTACCAAGGCAGAAATGGTAAGCGCGTCCAACCGGCTCAGACGACTGCTGGCTAGGACTCGAACGGAAAATCTAGACAGCTTCCTCGAAGCAACTGGGCATGACGGCAACAGCACCTTTTCAGTGTGGAAGCTCACCAGAAGCATTAAAAGGCAAACAGTTTTTACCTCCCCGATCACGGACCACTCTGGCCTCTGGTTCCGATCGGACGAGGAAAAGGCCAATGCGTTTGCTGACTACTTGGAGACAACCTTCAAGCCATTCGACTTCGCAGATGTTGCACAGCGCCGTAAAGTAGCCGAGTCACTGGACGCTCCACTGCAGATGGCTCTCCCGATAAGAAGCATCTCCCCCGCGGAAATCGGGACACAGCTGAAAATGCTTGAGCTAAAGAAGACCCCAGGATGCGACGAAATCGACAACAGAGCAGCTAAGGCTCTCCCACGCAAAGGAGTCATGGCGCTCGCCACAATTTTCAACTCCATGCTCCGCCTTGGCCACTTTCCGAAGCAATGGAAACATGCGAAAATTGTGATGATCGCCAAACCCGGTAAGCCGCTAACTCAACTTGAGTCCTACCGCCCTATAAGCCTTCTGCCGACGCTCTCAAAAGTCTTTAAGCGACTTCTGCTAAGCCGTCTCTTAGAACTCGACGAGGTCACGCGCCTGGTCCCGGATCATCAGTTTGGCTTCAGAAAGTCTCACGGCTGCCCCGAGCAGGTCCACCGGGCAGTAAAACATATACTAGAAGCTTTTGAGCAGAAGCAATACTGCGTCGTTTTCCTTGATGTCAAACAAGCGTTTGACAAGGTCTGGCACGATGGTCTTCTGTTCAAGATCAAACTGATACTCCCAGCGCCATACTTCAGCATCCTTAGCTCCTTTCTGGCAGGACGCACCTTTAATGTGGCCGTTAAAGACCAAAGGTCGGCAATTAAGGGCATCAGAGCAGGTGTCCCACAAGGCAGCGTCCTCGGTCCGATGCTGTACACGCTGTATACGGCGGACCTGCCCACACAAGGACAAAGCAATGAAGACCTCAGCCCTGCGAGACTGCTGGTGGCAACATATGCGGACGACACTGCCTTCCTAGCCTCCCACAAAAATCTGCAAGCTGCTACAAGTGCAGTGCAGGACTGGCTGCTGCAGATCGAAACCTGGACAGCTATGTGGAACATCGCTATAAACTGTGCCAAGTCCGCCTGCGTCACTTTTACGCTGCGCCCAGACAGCTGCCAGGGGCTACGGTTCGATGGAGGAACCATTGAGCAGACCAACTCTTTCTGCTACTTGGGTGTCCACCTGGATCGAAGGCTCATATGGGGGCCTCACATCGCAGCAACGAGAGCAAAATGCCTGAGAAGACTTCAAAAGCTCGATTGGCTACTAAAGCCTCAAAGCAAGCTGCACATATCCACGAAGACACTGCTTATCAAAACGATGGTAACGCCTATCTGGACATATGCGATCCAAGTTTGGGGCACGGCATCAGCACACCAGCTCCGTCGCATAAGAGTGGTCCAAGCCAAGGCAGCACGCAAGGTTGCTGGCCTGCCATGGTACGTAACAACAGACGCCATCGAACGCGATCTCCGCCTAACAAAGGTCGGAGATCAGCTCAACTTCTTCAGCAGCCGATACTCCGACAAATTGGTGCAGCATCCGAACGCGGCCGCAAGGGCCCTGGCTGAGCCCATCAGTGAGAGGCGCCTCCGAAGGCTACACCCCGACGACCTACCAACGAGGCGCATCACTTAAACATCCCTTTCCCATTATTGTTATATATTTTTAAGTCTGTAATTATCATTTAAGTTATTAAATAATAACTATACACTATACCCTTAACTCCGCTTGGTAGAGATCAGAAGGCACTGATCGATTCCAGCGCAAAATAAACCAAAAAAAAAAAAAAAAAAAAAAATAGAAGAGAATTAGCATAATCTTAACATAATCTGCTTTGACATTGCTATTGATACCCTGACTAATGTATATATGAGGTATATGACCGAACAGAGGGTTTGTACCATTTGGTTACAGCAGTGATCAATAGCCAAAATACCCTATTTAGAGGCTGCTTGCAAGTTGAAACCTAGTGGAGAAGAAGAAGACATGACTTTGCGAATTAGAGGCAAAGGTGGCCTGCAGTTTTTTAACGAAGCACGTCCCGATACGTGGTGGAAGTTTAAACCTTTTAATTCAACGTGGTGGTCTTTTAATTCTTGAACTTTACTTAGTAGCTTATTTAATTTATTCAAAAGTACTAATCTTAGTTTGTTAATGGATCCCACGTAAATTTAGGTATTTCTTCCTATGTAAGAGGAAATAATGGTTTCCTTCCTTTCTGATTGCATCTCATGCTGAGCAATTAACACTTTGTCTTCCGTTCTAGCCGTACAGTC